TATAGTTTGGCGTTTCTATTGTTTTCAGACCTTTTGTCATTCCTATTCTACTTGCACACTCCTCAGACCCTTTTTCACTGCTTAGTATCCTCACCTCAGACACCTTCACAGACGATGCAAGGGTTATAAAACCAGCCTCAAGACAAAAGCAAGTACGTCGGAGATTAAGTTTATCGGTGACATCAATTGAATCTGAAGGAGAGGTGTAAAAGAAAAAAATTATTACCCCAATTGTGCGAGGACACAACTCCGTCTCTAAGGTAAATGAAAAGGTGTGCCGATTTGTTGTAAAGTCTTTGTCTCCCCCAAAATGGTCCTCCATAAAGCTCTCATCCACAGACAATGTCTCCATATTTAGCAGGATTTGTGCAATTTACGAATTTTTTATGAAATCCACATAAAGGTTGGCGTGAAGAGAGTTGCTTTTTGGGTACCGTTGAAGGGTGGATCGTATTTCCCCTAAGTAGGAGCATTTTGCAATTCACACCTTCCTCAAACCCCCATTTGCCCAAGCACAAAGCCAGTCTTTGAGCCTCTCTCGTCGAACCAGTTTTATTACCATTGAAAAAGCCTCAGTAGATCCTCAAGCATCCGTCCTCCCACTCTCACCAAGGCAGATTAGGCGCCTTCTCCTTTCGATAGCTTCAAATGCCACTTGGACAAAGACATTGAACTTTTAGTGTGTTTGAGAGGTTATTCACTATTTCTGTGCCACCGATGAGGAGAGAGAAACGGCAAAGATAGAGTAAGTGGATTTAAAACAAGGGTGAATAAATGGCAATGAAAAGGAAGAGAGGGTGTGTAAAGCAACGCGTTTGGCATTCACCGCGTGCCTTAATTCATTTGCTAACAAAGGCGCCGAGGTTGAATGCCATTTCACGTGCTTAAAGTCGTTCTCAGCTTAACTACGCGCATCACTTACCTGAAAGTTGTGTCGAAATTTCCTTAGCTCAAAGCATATGTGGAGGAGGAAGCCTTGCTATCAAATCAGAGATGGTTAGTTTAATAAAACTCCAGGTTGCGCTTTCAGCTACTGAATTCGATTATGATCCAGAGCTTGACAAGTTAGTAAACAGTCGTTCTACATAAAAATCTCCACCGTCAAGACTTTTCCTTCCGTAGGTTTGATAACCACGTTGTTGTCTGGGCTTAAGTGGTCGTTTTCTATGAAGCAACATGGCCTATTGCATAAGTGTGATCTAGAAATTAGAACTTGCTTACTTTTTTCTGATACATTTGACACTCATTTACTTTAAAAAAAGATTGAATTGCTACTTCCTTTCCGAGACTGAGTTGATACGTTGAGGCTAAGCATCTGTAACGTTCAAAGTAGGAGTGCGGTTGCCGGGATAATTTAGTCTTGCTAACTAGCAAGCTAGTTGGCTTTCTGACTAGCTCTCTCCCACTTTTACTATGAAATTGCCCAAAGTGTACACTCGTTTACCCTCACGCAACACGCGTACGTGCACACACACAGTGGTATAGGATAAAATATATGTCTAACTCCTCTCCCCTTTCCCTTCTGCTCTCTCCACCTCTTCCTCATCCGTGTTTGTGTGTGTGTGAGATAGAGAGGGAGTGCGAGAGAGAGAGAGAGATAAACTCACCTGTCCAAACTGCTACGTGTCCGTGCTAGCGCGTTGGCCTGCGTCCACACCGAGAAGTATCGATTTTTGTGCGCGTGCGCGCCCACGCGCATGTTGCTTCTGCCTCTGCCATGCGCAGGCGTACTACCACCGCCACCATCACCGCCACTACCACCACCCACACTATGTGGGATGCGTGGATGGTGAAAGGCATTTCGCCTACTTCCTTAACTGAACATTTTGAGTATGACGTGGATGAGCTGCTGGGTTCCTGTACAGTCCCCAACGTCTCCTCACCGAACAGAAATTGCGAACCAATTTGAAAGGGAATTCGGAGAATCACAACAATGTAGTTCTGCTAATGAAAGCTACTTGCACGCCCTACATTAAGAGAAAAATGATATAGAGGTATGAAATAAATAAGCAAATACATTTAATATTGATGCTTTGGACAATCCCTTATTCATATCAGATATGAGAATCTCATTGCATTTAACAGTATTCAAATGTTCACTTTCATTATTGCGAAGGTGAACAAGAGAACTTTGCTATCTAAAATATCTAACATTCTAATTGGAAGGTGTAGTTAGTTGCATTTTATCGGTCTTCATGACTTCATTTTATTTTATCGTCAAAAAAGACTGATTCAATGTTAAAAAGACTTCCCAATAAGAACACTGAATAAAAACAAAAACTCTTTGAGTAAGTTTGCAAAATTATCAGTAACCGAGTTTTGTTGTCACAGCATATGGGCTAAAGAAAATAAACTGTATGAGAGAGGTTCTAATACCCTTTCTGCCATCTACTTAACAACCTCAGAACATGATTCCGTTCAATTTTCCGAACCAAACCATTTGATCAAACAGCAATTTTGCGTTTAGTAAAGCGATAGTCAGTAAAATCACCCCCTGAAGATTTAAAAGAACCAAAAACGTGTTTTCTGCTTGGCAAAGGCATTTTAGCCCCCATTCCTTGGTGTTTTAAGAAATGATTTGTATTGCGACTAGTTAATGAGGGAAGAATTACCCCTCCATTCATTATGGAGCTATTGTTTACAGTTCCAGAGTTGAAAAGCTTAAATTTTAAGGCATTTTAGTTAGTCTACATAGCTGGTGATTAAAAAAAACCATTGGCTTAGGAAATCATCTTAAAGGCTCAACTCACCGTTGGCAGAGTCCGTAGTGTCGAGTGCTCGCGTCAACTGCTTCCATGTCGATTTGAGCAGGGATGAGAGGAGGAGCAGTCTATCCCTGCCCCACAGACGCGTTGGCATTGGCTACGTTTATTCGGCCAGTACGAGGCTGTGCCTGTGGGACAGACACGCATAAGCGCCTGAGCACAGCCCCATGGCGCGCGCACTCCCCGTGTGAGTGTGTTGGAGCACGAGCATCAGCTCCTCCCACCCTCCACATCTGAATGTCATGCCACCTTAACCACTTACCAAACTTAAACCTAAGTGGAAAGGACAGGTACGAGAACTCAATTATTTTGGTCAGAAAGTGCCTCTAAATTGAGATCATGTTTGGTAAAACAGATTCGCTCTCATGCTCCCTGTCAACAAGTAGCCGTTTGTAACCAAAACTCGTAATCTTTGGAGCTTTGTAGGAAACCCTTCCATAGATAGCATCTCTCTGAACCGACAGTGTTCATTTGCAGCTCTTTTTGGCTACCAAAATGAATGACAAGCATTGATGTAGTGGGAAGTTAATAATCGCTGTTTGAGGGATACTTTTCTTGGCTAAAGCTCAAATCACCACAACAACAAGGGCGAGGGAAGTAATGAGTGCACCCTAAAAATTATCTCTTTAATGGCGGGAAACTCTAATGTTAATTATTTATTAATTTATTTCTTCATTTTCCAATCGTAGACAATTTAAACTTTAGCATTTAATTCGGTGAAATCTTTACTCCATCGGGCCAATTTTTAAATCTCTAATTGACCATATTTTCCTACGAAAAGTTGAACAAATTACGAAGAACAAAATAATAACGAAATTTTGTTTATTTTTAAATGCTATGGGTGGACTCACTATTATAGGATTAGTTTTTCCTTGTTTCGGCCGTCCAGACAGCATGGCAAGGTTAAAAAGTGAAAACTAAAAGCGCTTGCAAAGGCAAAACCTCATTCACCGCTTTCCGCCATCAGTCAGTTGCAAATAATCAAACAATTCGTTAAACTTTTTGTTAAAAAGCTTGTTAATTTACTAAGAGCCTCAATTTTAGTTAAAGCAGTACTTGAGGAGACGAATCCTGCCTTGGAGACTTTAAAGGGTTAAAATGCGTAGTCAAGATTTCCATTGCCTAAAGAAGGTGAGAAAAAGGGGTCCAAAGTTTTGTCCAAGTTGAGGACAACAGTCCACTCGTTGTGCGAGGCAACGTATGTCCCGACCGAAAGCAGTAGACAAGCACTGCTTCGTGTCGTCGTCCCTTCTTTAGGGCGTCGTCCCTGTCGCTTCTCTACGTAAATTTTCCGCGCCAGCTATCCCGACAGGCCACTTGTATCAGTCAACAATGCAAAGTGTATTGTGGCAAGGCTCGACAGCAAATATCCTACTTTAATGCAGTTTTAAACGCTAAAATCGCACTGACTATTAGCGGTTTAATGGGAAATGAGTGAGAAGGAAGTCCGAACTTAACGTACTTCCAGTGGAATGAGATTGTCGGTTCCCACGAGGCAGATTAGGTGCCAAAGGTGGACGTCATTCTCAGTTCTTACACAATCCATATGCGAGAAACTCTCCTAACTTTAGGGTAGGGAAGTTATTTTGCCGCAAACCCTTCACCAAAACGACAAGGCGGAAGGGAGAAAAAGTGTCCTTCAAAAAGTGGGCTTCGCTTTCTGGAGCCACTAGCCCAGAGATTGAAGGTCGTTCTACTGAGAAATGATTACAACAGCTGGAATGACTCGAAGCCTCCATCAAGCCATGGCACTGTAGTCATCAGTTTCACCATAACCAAAGCTCAAAAGTAAAAAAAAAGACAACAATGTGTTACACAATCCCAATTTCCAGTCAACTTTGACGTAGTTTAAGCAAGCTAGAGAATTTATTTGACTCCAATTCCACCAAAGTGGCTGAAAATCAGTCGTCAAGAGTAAGGCAGATTATTTTAGTCTCATTCATTTAGTCTAGTGGATGAATGTCAAAAGTTCGTGAAAAAAAGGATGAGCAAAAACCAGAAAAACCATCGACAATGACAAATGTCGTATCCTTTTGTCAAGTGAAATGGATGAAGTGCAAGTGGAATGGGACAAGGCTGGAGCACAAATGTCTGATTTCGTGGCATTAAAGAGGAAAACATTCCAGTTAAGTGGATTTATTCAAACAAAGTCAAAAAATTCATCTTTGCATGATGTAAAAAGAAAAAAGAACAACTATTTGAGTAGAGAGACTAAAAGAGAGCACAAAACTAGACATGGGAACAGATGCTGTGGATGATGCTGCCACAATGAAGCGCGTTCATCGACTTGCGGTTCACCGGCACCATCCCATTCGACCCAACTCTACACCGAGCGACCCCATCCGATCCAATTGCACACCACGTCATCGTTCCATCCCACTCCGTTCGTGCCGCACACGTGAAGGAGTGGAGAGAAGCAGTGTTTTGGCAGGGACGAAGAAGAAGAAGAAGAAGAAGAAGGTGCCCTTCAGTCGGATGAATATTTAAACACTCAAAACTCCCCAGGGCAATTTTACCACCTTTTTCCATCACCACTTCATAAGTGAGGCTGAGGTGTCTCCACTCGTACCTCGCACACACCATGTCTCTCTCCACGCGTGTTGTGTGTGTGTGTGTGGAGGCCTCATAAATGTTGCAGACATTCGCGTGATGGCTTTCGCGGTGTGAATGCTTCGCCAAAATATGCACAAATTATTAAAAGCCCTTGCATTGGGCAACACGAAAGCACTCGTCCTCCACTCCCCATCTACCACATCATGATCGCGCCAACTCCTAACGACTGCAGCAAAACCACATCCACACACATGCACGCACAGGGGCACGAAAGTTGAATGGAAGAAGAGGCAGAGGTGGAGGAGGAAGGAGGGATGGAAAAGGATTGGGACGGAGAGGTGAGTCATGGAGAGGACTGGAAGTTGGGATGCACTTCGAGTGACTTGCGACATGCTCTCGCACACTCACTGCCCACCGTACCTACTCCCAATGACTCGAGATTCGGCCAACCGGTGTGTCACGACAGTGCACTACGTTGGAGCATCTGGGAAAGGCAGATGCACGTTGATAGGTCAAATCACCAATTGCAATCATCGTACAGTCAAGCACACTGCATCGACATGCAGTCAAGTAGTGGCAATGCAGTCAATTCCACTCCTCCTTTCCCTCTCGCCGTGTTTGTTGCCTTCTCATCATCCACTCCCATTACGCTTCCCATCGCACCACTCTTACTGCCCTTCCTCTTTATTCAGGTACTCACGTCCACCCACACATTTGACTTCGACTAACCACTTACGCATTTCAGCTTCAAGGTGGTCGCATCACATGCTTCCAGTGATTGCACAAATGTACACCGCCACCTTCCTCCTCCTCCTCCTCCTCCTCCTCCTCCTTTTCCACTTCTTACTTCTCAGCATACTTCGCCTTCTTCGCTTTTGTGTGCGCTGATAGGAATGGAGGAGGCGAATCCACGACCACTCACCCTTCCCAACATGCATCCAACATGTTTTGTTGGCATTGTGTCCTCTTCACAATGTCAGTCGTTGGGTGTGTGTGAAGTGACGCTTCGTATTGAAATGCCGTGTGGTAATGCAGTCAGACGGTGGGTGGTGAATAGCCAAAACGACTGGGCCACCGTCACAGCAAACGAAGATGCGAAGGCAGAATGGTGTGGGACATTGTGATGGTGAAGAGAAGT